TAAAAAATACAGATTGTATAATGTAAATTAAATAAGTTTTTTTTTTTAATTTCGTGATAATTTATTAATAAAATGATACCAATTAGAATATAACTTATTCTACAACTTTAAAGCCACGTACATACGTACGTACGTATGTCAACTTTTTAATTAATAGAAATTTGAAATTGGTGTTTACAGTAATATCAATACAAAACCGGATTATAAATATATATATATATATTTTTACAAAAGATAAATAACCGGTTCATTTTTTTTAAAATGAATATCTGGATAGACAATTTGCAAACCGGTTCCAAACTTTAGTTTCGAGAAAATATTTATTTAGATAATAATAAAAAGTTGAATACGAAAAAGTTGTTTATATTACTCAATAAAAAAAATAATAATAAGACGAAATAAACAATTGACTTGTAGTAAAAAGTTATTGAGAAATTGTGATTTATAAATAAATAAGTTTTAATTCTCTCTTTGAAATATTAATCGAAAGGCTCATATGATGTGTGATATTATACCTATATATCAGATATCGCAATACAACAATGATTTTTTTTTAATAAGTCAATAACGACGTACTGATTTTTTAGTGAGTATTTCAAATGAGTTAATATCAATGGTTTTGCAACTTTCGGAAATCGTACAGTAATCTTGATACAATACTACAATAGGGGCTAGTTTGCTAATTAGTTATACTGAAAAAAGTTCATATAATTACAAAAGCAAAAAAAAAATTTATCCTTATTTTGTTTTCGGATTTTCGTATAGTAATATGACTTAAAGTTGTATGTTTATTTCAATTAAAATTTTACACGATACAATAAATTTTTACAATAATATTCGATAAAATTATTTAATCGTTCACACGAAAAAAAACTTGAAAGTCCTAAAACTCAAAAGAGCAAAACGTCATATTAAATAGCGAAAAGAATTATTAAAAAAAAAACTTTAATCAATATGTAATAATCATTGCGAAAATAATATTTGAGAAGTAATTTATTCTTTAACTGCGGCGCATTAGATGAAATTTTTAGCCACCCTGATCAGTGATGTAATTGTTTTCGCCCAATGGAAACCGATATTTGTATTCAATGTGAAGTGGGGAGAAATTAGTAAACTCATAATTCCGTAACACGAACACCTAAAAATTTAATTATATATTTAAGAAATAACATAGATACGTCACGTAAACAGGTTGTAGCTAAGGATTGAAATCATTTTAACTATTTTAACTCATAAATTGATTCATATTGTAGCTTAGGCAGAATGATGTTGATCGTTAAAACAAAATTTCGAAACTTATATTAAAGCCAGTTGGGTTAAATAGCTAGACAACGTTAAGCATTAATTGTTAAAACCATTTTTAGGCAATTTCAAAACATCAATTAAATTAAAAATTTTAGAGTAAATTAACTAGACGAGCAGCTTCACTGCCCAGTTCAACTAATAATTAGAATAGTAGGTAGTTTGATAATAACACGAATTTTATCATGATTAATAACTTGATAATGTTTTTTTTTAATTGAAGGTTTTAAATTTACATTTTTTTTTAATGAAAATAGCATGCAGCGCATGAAGCTAGTTTTAAATAAAAACATTAAAGTATAAACAAAAATCGGTTATTTTAGATTTTGACAAGTTTTTTTTTTATATAGCTCTCGGCCTCACTTCATTTGGTTTATTTGCAAATCGAGTTCTATTTTTTTTTTTTTTTTACATCATAATCGTCATTGACAAATTCTTTTTATTTAAAATTATCAATAAAACTTCGAACTATTCATCTAATGTGATAATTATTAAAACAAAAGAAAAACATGACATCATGTAATGAAAATAATAGTGATTGAACAAATGAACATCTCAGTAATAGAAAAAGCATAAAGAAAACTATTACGTGTAATTCAGAAAAAAAGTTTACAAATATACAATGTATGGATAATGAAAAAAACAACCTAGTAAAAATTTGAAAAAATACTATAAACTTTCGAAATTAACCACTCGAGTTAAAGGTATAAACATATTGTCATCACTAGTTACGACCTTATCTAGTATTTAAACTTCACTGAAGTTGGAATAGAATTTTTGCGAAGAATTTGTTTAAGGATATTCAGATCTTCATCACTCATATTATGACGACTAATATTTAAGGTTGCTAAAGTAGTATTTCTACTTAATGCCTCTGTTAATGCTTTTTCTCCATCAAATCCAAATTTGTTATAAGAAAGGTGTAAATGAATGAGGGCAGTGTTTGTATAAAGAACTTCTTTTAATGCTTTCACCCCTCTAAAATCGATTAAATTATCATCAAGATTCAAAGTAGTTAAGGTGACGTTTTTACAAAGAGCTTCTGATAATACTTCAACACCCTCGGATCCAAGATAATTATGATATAGATTTAAACGAGTCAAAGTTGTGTTTACGCAAATAACTTCTGCTAATGCTTTTGCTTCTTCAAATCCAAGTTGATTAGAAGAAAGGTCTAAAGATGTTAAAGTCGTATTTTTGTGAAGCGACCTGGATAATGCATTTATCCCTTCAGAATCAATATCATTACCGCGAAGATTTAAAATTGCTAAAGTGGTATTTTTACAAAGTGCCTCTGATATTGCCATAGTACCCTCAGAACCAAGTATATTATAATCAAGACTTAAATCAATCAAAGTAGTGTTTACGTAAAGAGCCTCTGCAAGCGCTTTTCCACCTTCAAAATCTATACAATCACAACCAAGAGATAAAGTAGCCAAAGCTTTGTTTTTACAAAGAGCTTTTGCCAGTGCTTTTAACCCTCTAGACTCAATCTTATTCTCGTCAATATATAATTCAGTTAAAGTGGTATTTTTATAAAGTGCTCCTGCCAATAATTCTGCACACTCGGAACCAAAGTAATTACAACTAATGTGTAAAGAAGTTAGAGTAGTGTTTACACATAATGCATCAGTCAATGCTTTTATCCCGTTGAAGTCAAGTGAACTTATAGGAAGCGCCAAAGAAGTCAGTGTAGTATTTGTGTGAAGAGCTTTCATTAATGCATTTATTCCTCTGAAATCAAATAGATTACGTCCAAGATCTAAAGTAGTTAAAACAAAGTTTTTACGAAGAGCTTCAGCTAACATTTCCAAACACTTTGTATCGAAACAATTATCGAAAAGATTTAAAGACGTAAGAGTAGTGTTTATACAGAGTGCCTTAATTAATGTTTCACCTTTAACAGAATCAATTTGATTTTGAGAAAGATCTAAAGAAGTTATAGAAGTGTTCTTGCGAAGTGCCTCTGCTATTGCATTCCATCCCTCTAAATTAATATCATTACCCTCACTATCAATGATTCTTAAAGAAGTTATAGAATTTTTATGAAGTACCTCTACTAATATTTCTGTTGCTTCCGAATTAAATTTCTCTGTTCCAAGTTCTAGAGAAGTAATAGTGGCATTCTCATAAAGATTATTAAATATCTTTTTATCACAAATAGTACCATAAAAATGTAAGGTTTTAAGTTTTTCACTTGTTCGTAAAAACATTGCGATTAGAGAACACACCACAGCCATTACAGGTAGATTATCATCATCATCATCTCTGATAGAGTTTGAATCTTGAGATCGACACGCGAATCCTTCGTTTATGAGCCAGTTATTAATTCCAAAGGTCATATCAGAACTATTAACAGATGTAGCATAACTTGTATACTCAAATAATGTATTTGGAAGTTTTGGAAGAATAATATTAAAGGGTATTAATAGAGTTTGTTCTTTGGTATTTAATGTTGAAAGACATAATTTTAAAAGCCTTTTATCCTCAAAATGTTTCATTGGGTCGCTCCATAATATTGGTACAATAATTGTACACCATAAACGGTTTACAAGAAGACATGAAAATAAACATCTATAGTGAGTTTGAAAGTTTCTGAAGATTTCGTAGAGGCACTCGTTTGGTAGTTTGTTCATTTTTAAACGCGAAAGTGAACAGGCTAAAAATGTAAACATTGATGAAAAATTTACGTGATCGAATTTATTGATGTATGGTAACACTAGATGTTCTTGTTACACGGATTTTTTGTTTACTGTACTATCTAAAAATTTGTATGATAATTCATATTTTAAAAGCGCGTCTTTTATTAGAACGATTATGACAATATAGATATGTAATACAAGTTATTACATTAAATTTTTAAAACGAAGCAACTAATAAAAGTCGATATTTCCCTTACCGATAGTTAAAGTTTCTAATCTCATGTGAGCAAAATATGCAAATGATCAATCAGTTTTACAAGAACTAATATTGAAATCTCTTTGATTAAACATCCAAATATTCGGATGCCAATTTTGTTCATGATGGATAAAAATAATCCTATCCAAATAACTATATTGCTGATGTAAATACACTTAGAATACTTTTTTGAAACGTAACATTTCACAATAAAAGATCAAGTTTATACTGATATTTTACTAACATAATTATCTCTTATGCAATAATTAATTCTCCACTTTATACAATTTAGTACTCTTATCGGAAATAAATTTTAGAGCTTTCCTTTGCGTCACTCATTTCATCATTTAAATTCTTCGTTATCGACGAGTATATTCTTACAGATTGGGTCTTTTTTTGATGTAGAAAATTCATGGCATTTTTTCACACACACATATACATATTTCGTTTACTTTTTTTTTATCTGATTCAAATTTACGAATTTTTCACGATTTATTACAATATTTGTTTGAGATGGAAAAAGCAATACTAACTCTAGTGCTTAACATTCAATAACGTCATTTCTAATATTATGACAAAACTTTTCTTTTTACACAGCTTCACTAATTTTATTTCCATTAAAAAATATGCCTGCAATTATAGCTAATAATATATTGCTGATGAAATTTCATCCTATATACGTATAAGTTAATAATTTCACAAAGAACATTTGGTATAGTAATAACGAATAACAAATATTAAAGTTCTTTAAAAAAAACAATTCATTTTATACTGTATGAAATAACTAAAAAAAAAAAAAACTAAGCCGCAATTTTCCACTCGACATAATGTTCTTTGAATGTATGAAATCCCACTTCATACAATAGATGTTTCACCCTTTCATCTTCAAATGATAATGCTTTGTCTTGTTCATTTTTCTTCATACTACCATAAATTCTCTTAGGCACAATTTTATGAATCTTTCGACGATATAATCCAACTTTTTCTGCAATTGCATTCGCTTTCATCTTTTCCATATATGCTTTAAATTGACGTGTATGATCATATAAAGCATTAACTTCAAGATCAGCTTTAGTCGTTAAAGTTAAAACTGTGTCAAGTGTATCCTGTAATGTCGAAGGTGGTTCATTAATATCTAATCTTTTCATGATAGTATTAATCGATTCTTTTATAGCAGATGATGGAATTGAAGGTAACCAATTCATGAATAAGGCAATCAATGTTGTATTAGGATTATTATTATTCAAAAGTGGATAAAGCTTTGTTAATACAGGTTCAATTCCACAATATACTTCATCACAAATATTAGATACATAAATTCGATCAAATCGTTCCTTTTTAATCTTTTGACTAAGGTTGAGTGCATCTTCATCATATAAATCAAATTTAATGTTTAAATTTTGTAATCGATCAACAAATAATTCTAACTGATTGCGGAGATAAAAGTAGAGTTTCCCATAAAGGTCATCTTTTGCAGTTCCATTCTCGACCTGAACAACTTTAAGCAAATCCCATCCAGAAAGTGGGTCCGAACAATCTGTCGTTGTCCAACCGTGTTCAGGATCCAAGATAAATTTATTTGGTGTATCATGATGAGTATTTGGAAAACCGAATGGAAGGAGAATTCCATTACGACGAAAATAATTATAACAAATTCTTTCTTCTGGTGTAAGTCCTTGCATATGTTGATGTAAATAATCTTTACGAGTTGGATCAAACATAATTTTGTTGCGCATATCAATAGATGTTTTCAAATCAATTTGACCAAGAACCACCTCAAGA